TGACAGTACATCGGACTAGAGGAGTTTTCTAATTGGTAGTACATCGGTCTAGAGGAGTTTCTAACTGGTAGTACATCGGTCTAGAGGAGTTTCTAACTGGTAGTACATCGGTCTAGAGGAGTTTCTAATTGGTAGTACATCGGTCTAGAGGAGTTTCTAACTCGTAGTATATCAGTCTAGAGGAGTTTCTAATTGATAATACATCGGTCTATAGGAGTTTCTAAGTCGTAGTACATCGGTCTAGAGGAGTTTCTAATTGATAGTATATGGGTCTATGGGAGTTTCTAACTGGTAGTATATCAGTCTAGAGGAGTTTCTAATTGATAATACATCGGTCTATAGGAGTTTCTAAGTCGTAGTACATCGGTCTAGGGGAGTTTCTAAGTCGTAGTACATCGGTCTAGGGGAGTTTCTAATTGGTAGTAAATTGGTAAAGGAGTTTCTAATTGATAGTACATCGGTCTAGAGGAGTTCCTAACTGGTAGTACATCGGTCTAGAAGAGTTTCTAATTGGTAGTACATCGGTCTAGAGGAGTTTCTAATTGATAGTACATGGGTCTATAGGAGTTTCTAAATGGTAGTACATCGGTCTAGAGGAGTTTCTAATTGGTAGTACATCGGTCTAGAGGAGTTTCTAATTGACAGTACATCGGACTAGAGGAGTTTTCTAATTGGTAGTACATCGGTCTCAATTAGAAACTCCTCTAGACCGATGTACTACCAATTAGAAACTCCTCTAGACCGATGTACTACCAGTTAGAAACTCCTCTATAGTACATGGGTCTATAGGAGTTTCTAATTGGTAGTACATCGATCTAGAGGAGTTTCTAAGTCGTAGTACATCGGTCTAGATGAGTTTTTAATTAGTAGTACATCGGTCTAGAGGAGTTTCTAATTGGTAGTACATCGGTCTAGAGGAGTTTCTAATTGGTAGTACATCGGTCTAGAGGAGTTTCTAATTGGTAGTACATCGGTCTAGAGAGTTTCTAATTGATAGTACATGGGTCTATAGGAGTTTCTAATTGGTAGTACATCGGTCTAGAGGAGTTTCTAATTGGTAGTACATCGGCCTAGATGAGTTGTTAATTGGTAGTATATCGGTCTAGAGGAGTTTCTAATTGACAGTACATCGGTCTAGAGGAGTTTCTAATTGGTAGTATATCGGTCTAGAGGAGTTTCTAATTGACAGTACATCGGTCTAGAGGAGTTTCTAATTGATAGTACGTGGGTCTAT